CCCAACTCACAACAAAACAGTATAGGACACCCTTAGTATATTAAAAAGTCAGCCCAAAGGCAAAAAAGCCAAGGTCAGCTGTGATTCCTCACTTAAAAGAGGAAAATGTAAAGTGGGAATGACTGAAAATAAAGATTACAATCAGCATTTATGGATATTAACATGAGAAATTAAAACCGAGAGAAGAGCACAAAAGCAAATCATCGGAGAAGGGAAATAAGTTAATGACCAACTGATCCCTGCCTGGGCAGCTTAATGACACAAATAATTAATTACTCTGTTAAGTGCTGATTTTTTTTGCAACTGCTTGGCACCTAAGGAAACAAACAGTGACAGGACAACGCTGGAAATCCAGAACACCAGACTCAGAGGAAAAAAATAAATCCCACCATCAGCAGGTTAACACCAAGGGGGAGGGGAGGGGAGAGGAGAGGTTCGGAGAGGTTCGGAGAGGAGAGGTTCGGAGAGGTTCGGAGAGGAGAGAAGAGGAGAGGAGATTAAAAAATAAAAAAAAATCACTCTAAATATATAGATATATATTTGTAGTGCAAGTCAGAGTCAAGCAGGCATGCGAGAGGTTAGTTCTACTCACTGTCGGCAGGTTTGCTATCACTTAGGAAAGGCTCCATGATGTCCATTGGTATTTTAATCCTTGGGACTTTTTCTGAGTAGGGGCAGTCAGACTGTGAAAGAAACGTGTAAAAGCTCTTAGAACATTCCCACTGCTCTCTCTCTTATCGTCTCCCACACATTAAAATTATCCTTCACATAGTTTCTGTAGGAACAGGGAAAAAAAAAGAAGGAAAAAGAGAAAAGCATTGTCCAGCTTAGTTTTAGTTGCCTGGTGGATTCCACTGGTTCCCCACTGCACCCCACTTCCCCTTGTTCTTCACACTCCAAAAGCAAAACAGACTGAAAGGATAATCTTGTGGAATTGTAAATTAACACAGATCTTCCCCTTTCCCACCCCACCAGCTTTTAAGACACCATCCCATTCTGCTTGGAGTCGGCTGCAGGAAATACAGACAGAAAACGGATCTGTAGGCAGACATAGCAGGGCACTGGCTGCTGGGAAAGCTCATCCAAACCCTTTATCCTGCTGGCATTTCTGTAAAACCCCTTAGTTGCTCCCAGTTGCTCTATGAGGGCAGAGGTTCCGTATGCTGGGCTGGTTCAGCAACTCCTCTTTAATTGGGGTAAAACCCAGCCTCCGTTACACCTCTAGTTCATCAATTCCAGGACCCTTGGAGGGATTCAGGATCCCCGGCCTGGCAGGACAAACAGCAACCAGGTCAGGAAGAGGCAAAGGGAAAAGCTGGGGTACCAGGAGGGCTTACACCCCACTGCCTTCTGTCACCCCCCTGCTTATGCTTAGCAGACGGTACTTGGAATTATTCTGCTTTGTTAAAAATAAAGGAAACTTCTCATAGCCAAGGAAAGGCTGATATTGCCTAACTTGGCAAAGGCAGGAGGGTGGGATTTGCAAGAAACATTGGGACAGCAGCCCTGTGCCCCAGGACAGAAAGCCTGTGAGCTTTGGCTTTCCGGTGCAGTGTGTGGCGCAGCCTGGGCACTCTGTGCGGAGTAAGTGGTCTGTTTGCTGCTATTCGAGCAAGCCACATCAGCTCATCTGCACCTAAGGACCTTGTGAGGTAACCAGGAGACGAGTTGAGGTTCTTCCTCGGAGATTTTTACTTCATGGAGGAGCTCCTTTCAGTTCAGCGCGGGTGAACGGAGCTGCACTGCAAGCTCTAATCATCTCATCATTGAATGCAGCTGAGGGCGTTTGTGGGGGATTTAAACTGCAGGGAGAAACTGCTCCCAGCTCAGCCCGGCTCAGCCCGGCTGCCTTGCGAGACCTAATCAGCTGAGCAGGGGGTGGAGTCCAGGTGGTTTCTGGGGGATAGAAATTGGAGCAGGAGAAGAGGGGTGTGGCCTGTTCGTAAGGCATGGCGCTTGGAACAGCGGGTCGTCCGGGCAGAGGGAGTAAAAGAGAAGAACCGCTCTCCTTCCCAGCTGTCTGTGGTGGCCTATGAGGTAGGTCTGCGGCTAAGGGTTTTTCTGGAATAGGACTGAGAGTTTAAGTGGAGCACTTCATCAATAGACGGGGTGCAGTTCAACAATGGAAAGAAAAGCTTTACCGTGTGTCTCTCAAGTTCAGCTAATGGCCCACTTTTGGTAAAGGGGGGCAGCCAGGGCTTTCTGTGCTGGCACCTTTTCCCTGCGAGGAATCCTCATTTGGGTCGGGTTTGGGGGGGTGTTACAATCTGCTAAAATATTGCAGAAAGAATTTTTATATTCGAATGTTCCCTTGAGCAAAATTAAAACTCATACGAGTTAACTGTTGATGCCAAAACTGCTTTTATTAATTGCTAAGAGATGCAAAGAGAAAGAGGAAAAAATAAGAAAAGGTGAGACAATGCTAAGATTACTTTTTAGAATCACAGAAAAAGATTACCACCGAAAAACTACCGATTCGTCCGAGCTGACTTGTGGAGTGTGGGGGGGGAGAGGGAGAGAAAGAAGCAGCTTTCGCCTTTTTTTTTTCTGTCTGGCTCCACCGCCTTTCGGTGTGATGTTATCTCTTGATCTGCAGGGGGTCTGGAATGCAGCCGGGATGTGGCTTCTCCGCAGCTCACGCCGTCACTCACCCCGGCCCAGTCTCAGGCTTGTGCAGAGGTCTCGGTCCTGCCGTACCTCTCAGAAATGGGGTTAGGGTGGAAAACTCACGGAGGGGGCAGAGGTTCAGTCTCTGGTGACGGGCAGGCAGTTTTACGGCGGCGGAAGAAAAGAAAAGGTGAGGGCGAGGCGGAGACAAGATTTTTCAGCTGGTATAGCCAAAATCTCTTGCTCACTCCTCTTTCCCTAGTTTTCCCAAATTTCTCTTCAGCTTTTATAGTGTTTAAGGAGGTAGCCTGTGGTGTTTTGGCACCTAGCCCTGTTCAGATGTTGGCAGAGATAGGATAAGGCTGGACAATACCAGGATCCTTTGGCAGGAAAACTCCCGTGGGAAGCCTCTGGTGAGAAGTTCTGTGAAAAACTGACACAGGAGTTTTGGTAGGAAGTTTTTGACAGGCAGAAACACTGGCGAAACATCATTTTTGGCATCTGTATGGTATCTGTCTGTTCCACTCCAGCCCGTGGTTCGACCTTGTTTCTCGGCACATCGAGGTAGTTTTCTTCGGTGGTGG